CAGAGGGTCAGGGGAGGGTGGAGGGGGAAGCAGGGAGATCGAAAGCACGGTCGAAGAGGAGGGTCTTGAGATGGGTCTTGAAGGAGGCAAGCGATGGGGCGAGGCGGAGGAACTACGGGATGGAGTTCCAGAGGGTGGGGGCAGAGTGACAAAAGGCCCACCGGCCAGTAGTGGGGCGAGCGAGGCGGAGGACATGAAGCAGGCTGGAGCCCGCTGAGCGGAGGGAGCGAGCAGGATGGTAGGGGGTTAGGAGGTCGCAGAGGTAGGCGGGAATAAGACCATGGAGGGCTTCGAAGGTGAGGACCAGGAATTTGATCTGTATGCTCTCTGTGATGGGAAGCCAGTGGTGTCAGGTGAGGATGGATGTGATAGGGTCACAGAACCTAGTGCGGGAGAGGACACGGGCTGCAGAGTTCTGGATGATCTGCAGCCTATGGAGGGAGGAGTTGGGGAGGCCGACAAGCAGGGAGTTTGCATAGTCAAGCCTCGATGTAATGAAAGCATGTACGAGGGTTTCGCCGGCCTGCGTGTGTGAAACAATGGCGGAGTTGGGCGATGTTGTGGAGGTGGGGGAAGGCAGAGCGGGTCATGGCCCAGATGTGGGGTAGAAAGGATAGTTGAGGATCAAACAAGACGCCAAGGTTCCGGACTGAAGTGTGCAACACACTGCTATCATTACATATTCCCAGAAAGGGTTTTTGATTTTTTGGTCAGCTGAGTGTCTGACGTATGCAGAAATCGAAATTTCCATGTCTGGAATGGAGTGTGTGCTCTCTCCCTGGAAACGCACCCTGTTAATTCTGTATTAAAGCGGACATCTAAAGTGATGAGCCTTTGTTGTGAGAACAACTTGATCACCTGGTAGTAAATATTCATACAGCAGATAAAGTAGATATTTATACATTGTTAAACATACTGTACATTTTAAGCAAATCTCTGCAGACAGCAATGGCATAAGGTTCCTGCTTCTGCATTCCACCCGTTGAAAAATAGACAGTCAAATGTATTTAGTTAAAATTCAATACTGTTTGAATGAAATTATATATTAGCAATAAGTTCAGCATATCAAAAAGGAAGTAACTGCTTAACTGCTACCTGCAGTTGGTTTTGGTTGAGAATAGTAACAGAAGGACAAGCAAGAAGACTAGAGAGTTAATTGCCCTTTGTTTTGTATGGCTTAACCTATTTAACTTTATAATTATGAAAATCCACATTTTAACATCATTTATAAAAATGACTATTCCTACAGCTGGTATCCCACCTGAACAAGACACTTTACAGGCAATTAACTTGCTGCGGGCAGTTTGGTATCCTGGTAGTTACCATCTGTTGTAATACCTCTCAAATTGTCCTCATTCCAAGAGTATATACATGCAGCCACACTGACCACCCGTGTGGAGCGTTACCTTCCCATTGTTATCAGCACTTTATACCTCTTATACCACACAACAAAAAATCATGAACAAAACACAAAATACTGCAGATGCTGGAATCTGAAACAAAAACAAAGAGAGCTGGGAAAACTCAGCAGGTCAGACAACATCTATGGAGAAAGGAAAGTGAGTCAACTTTTTGGGTCCCCGACCCTTCATCAGATGAAGGGTCATGGACCCGAAACATTGATTCACTTTCCTTTCTCCATAGATGTTGCCTGACCTGCTGAGTTTTCCCAGCTCTCTCGGTTTTTGACAACAAATCATGCTCTGGTTGATAGGTTGAATTCATACAATAATTTACATCACAATTAGTATTTTGTGGATGTAATTTTATAAGGACTTTAATTGTAAGGGACATGCTTTTCCGTTTCTAAATCATATGAGCATGCACAACTATTTCAAAGAGAACATCACTATTAAACTCGGGAAACACTAACAACCGTCATTGCACCCAAATGGAACCACAGCAATTTACAGTACAAAAGGCCATTCAACCCATCGCATCAACAACAACAAATTACATTTGTATAGTGCCTTTCATATCGGGAGGACGTCCCAAGGCGCTGGTTCAATGCTAGTTCTATGGAGCAATCATTCAGTCCTAGTTCTTTCCCCCATACTTGTGCAAACTACTCTTTTTAAGATATCTATATCCAAAACCAAGTGCATATAAGACAGCTGCATCCTATGTACCAATAATCATGTTATTTCCTGGTTTATATTGAAGCAGTGTCCTGGGCATCATATTACTCAGGGTATCAACTGCTTATGGAAAATGGACACTGAAACGCGGGCAAAACATTAAACAAAATTGACACCACAAATTCCAAGGCAGTGAGTTATATAGTTATATATAAGTTATATAGTTGCCTATATCAAGTTGTTTTCAGTCTTTCCCCTCAGAGAATATGATTGGGACATCAAATGTACTTGTTGCACAAACAGTGATTGATAACACCAGACTTACTTGATCCAAAAGAACATTAACTGTGTTCCATCAGAGTAAGATGGCAGAGTGCCTCAACTATAAAGTGTGACACAGTATTCAAATTGGAACACCAGATGGTACCGAATAGGGTAATATGGCAGGGTAGAGCTCCACAACAGTACCATATATACTGCATAACCCAGTGCTCCGAGAATGTTGAAAAACAGACAGCAGCACACTGCCATCTCTCAAAGTTATCCAATGTTAACCAGTTGTACTTCAGATACAATGCTCAAATTAAGACTCAAAAGAAAACATCATTAAGCTAAAAAAATTCTGTACCACACAACTCACATACTGATAAATACTTACATTTTATTATAAGTTTATAGATCATAAAATATTGATTTTTCAGCCAATATAGCACTACATATCAGGACCTATACAACTAACGGATCCAATCAAAAAATTACTTCCCACTACAGCAGTGCATGAAACTGTCTTTTTATAATATAACCACTATTTAATTTGTACTACTGATTAACTGTAATTTTTTTAGAAGTTAAGTTACTGGCTTTCAAAAGTTAAAACACGGAATATCAATAAAAGGGCCATATATTTATTATGAATAGCAAGAAGGAAATATGCCTACAGATTTCCATTCAGCAGCAGTCTATCAGAGAACATGTAGTAACTCCAAATATGTTCACTGTGTGCCTGATATGGAGACGAGGTGGAAAATGCATTTGATGGACAACAAAATATTGCCATAACTGTTTCACAAACAGATAATAGGGAACTGAATTGCGCAGTTGGTTACTTTCACGTTGAAGGCTCACTATTAGTGTCCTGTAGCTCAGTGGTTAGAGCACTCGCCTGGGTTTCAGAGTCTTGGGTTCAATTCCAGGCAAGTCAGGGCGAAACCTTGGGCAAGTTTCCTTACTCCACACGCCTAATAATAATCCCTCCAAAACAAAAATTGGTCATTTTCAATCCACGACTGTTTGTGGGACACTGCTGTGCGCAATTGGCTGCCACGTTTCGCCCACAAATATACAGTCAATTCACTTTATAGCATATTCTGTGAAGCGCTTTGAGATGTCGAGAAAAGGTGAAAAGCGCTATATCAAATGCAAGGATTATTATTATTATATGATTAAACTTTATCCAGATTAATAGGACGAGCTAAACTTTCTTCCGGCAGTCTCTACCTTATTTCTTGCAAGTGTGGCATCACAGAATGGCCCTCAATGAGGCCGTAAGGATAGCTGGTGTAAAAAATGGAAAAATTCACACCGATTATATCAGAATATCTTTTTGAGGTTAAAGTTAAAAACACATATTTGAGGGACTATAGGAAGGTGGATTCTGAGGCTGACCATGATATACCTGAGCTAAGAGCACATCCAGACTCTGCAAGCTCAGGGTCTCTTGGCTCCCCATCTCCCAGCCGATCGAGCTGAAGATCCTAGTTCTCACCTTTAAATCCTTCCACGTTCTCGCCCTACCATACCTCTGTGATCTCCTTCAACCATACCAACTGGGGCACACTCCCTTTGCTCAGCAAACACTGGCCTGCTTCAAGTCCCCACCCTATCCACTCCACCATCAGCAGGCAGGCTTTTGGGCCATATTACCCCACTCTCTGCAATGTTCGGGTGCCCACGCAGCACTGTGAAGTGCTTTGAGAAGTCTTCCCAACGTGAAAGGCACAATGTAAATATAAATTGTATTATAATAATAATCCTTGCAATTGATATATATATGTATTGTATTAATAGTACCATCACAACAAGTGTCAAACTGTTCAGTGCTTTACCGATATGCTAATCTTGAAGAGCACAATTGGTGAAAGGTTAAAATGGATAGTTTTGGAGGCATTAGCATGTACAGTCACCTCCTACTAATTTATTTTAGCTCAGCCTTGGGATGTGATAATGCTGGTATTTTATGCCTATTCTGTGGTTCAGCACCACTGGCAGCACTGTCACTGGACTACCTGTTAATATAATAATAATAATAATAATCCTTGCATTTGATATAGTGCTTTTCACGTCTTCTAGACATCTCAAAGCGCTTCACAGAATATGCTGTAAAGTGAATTGACTGTATATTTGTGGGCGAAACACGGCAGCCAATTGTGCATTGCAGTGTTCCTCAAACAGTCGTGGATTGAAAATGACCAATTTATTATTGTGTTGTTTTTTGGAGGGATTATTATTAGGCTGCGTGTGGAGTAAGGAAACTTGCCCAAGGTTTTGCCCTGCCTGGAATTGAACCCAGGTGTCTCGTTTGCAAGGGCGAGCGCTCTACCTTTTTTTTAAACAGTTTTAAGTTTAATAATTCAATAATTAATTAATAATCAATTTTGTGCAGAACTTTGGGGAGGACAAGATTGCAGGGCCATAGGGAGAGAGAGCAGGGAGTGGGATTGATTTGGGTTGTTATTTTAAAAGAGCCGGCACAGACACGATGGGCCGAATGGCCTCCTCTTGCGCTGTGTAATTCTATGAACACGCAATATTCATTCTCTTGAATTATTACATGATGCAAGTTCATTGTTGCAAATATCTTAATGCTCCATTTCCTATGAAACTGAACTAGATCTTTGATTATCATACCAAAGAGTTTATTACCTGCTTTGGACACTGGTTTTTGCAGGAATTAAGCATCGTTTTTGTTTCTGCATCAGCTGTAGCAAATTTCCTAAATTAAAACACAAGCGAGATGATGACAGATGAAAAACACATGAAAACTCTCCACTCCTGATTGAGTGAGTACACTGAAATGAAAATGTAATTAAAGTACTAATTGTTCGGTCAATTAATAGAATTGGAGACCAGATAACTGTATGTTCTTCATTTTGTTTTACTTTCTTTTCCCTCTTCCTGTGGCAACCATGCATCTGCTGCAAGGCTTCCATCAATGAGGTCTAATTTGCAATATTCACAAACATTAATTGCAATTTCTGTTTGTGTAAATTGTTGTGTATCATTTTGCTCATAGTTTAATTTTCAAACGCCTCTGATTTGGGCAAATCATAGCCACAAATTCGAAATTGTCAATGTTTGAAAATTAAACCATAAGCAAAATGGGGGGCAACAGTTTTCCCAACCAGAAGTTGCAATTAACTCAACCAAACAGGTTTGCAAATATTGTTATATTTGGCCCAGATATCAAGCAAGCTGTTTGCAAAGATTTTTGCTTTTAGGAATGAATTAATTTTCAGCTGTTGACTTTCCCTCCTGGTGAGAAAGTAGACACTTCCATGCCAACAAAGACATCACAAGTCAAACAAATATTCAGGGTATACTTACATGCACTCTACATAGAGGTTTGCAATCTTGCAATGACATTTTATTCGGATCATCTGTGTACATGGAGGGCACACTCCACTATGACAGGGTAGAGTGCATGGGTGAATGCAACCTGCAGCACGAGGCTTTTTACATCTCTCTTCACATGTCCAACACTCTTGACCAGCCTAGATTAAATAAAAAAAAGTTATATTAGTAAAATGGACACATTATGAAAAGCAAGACACAATAATATGAAATGCAGTTAAAAATCTATGGGATGCTAGAGGAATTCAGCAATACACAGGATGAAAAGAGAACCCTTTTTGGTTGCTAAGATTCTTTATAGCTGGCCAGAACTGGTAGGAACACAAATTAAACCCATGTATAATACTAATAAGAATCTGATTTGATATACCACCTTCTACATCAAGAGGAGATCTCAAAACACTCACAGGATATACTGTAACTGTACCTTCAATTGTTCTGGGAAAAACATATGTATTTCATAGAGGAAGTAAGAAAACCTGAAAAATTAGATGAAACTGAAGCATCCATTAGGTCTAGGACACAGCCCTATTGGAAATAATACTTCAATAGAGAAAGATTCATATACAATTCTTCATTTGAACTAGAATGACAGGAATGATTGGCAAAGTAGGAGCAAAATCATTTAAAGACGTTGAAATTTAAAACCACTTACATGCACAAAGGCAGAACATGGATCAGTAAAAATAACAGGAATCACATTAAGTTAATTATTATCTTAAAATAAATTTTGTTTTCAGAGTTCCAACATCTGTGGTTTTTTATCTCGGCTAATGGGTCATTAACAAATTGTGAAATGGTGAAAGAGATGTTAAGGACTACACATGATGCCAACAATAGGAGATTGTTATCAGATATGTAGATTCAGGACCAATATCTCACACTCTTCTTGGTATATTTCAGCCCACAAGCCTGAACTATAACCTTAACATCCTCAAACCTGAACGGTCTCCTTCATTTTCCCATCCTATCATACAGATTAACTTTATGAATACAGTTAGTGGTTTAAAATAATCATCTGATTAATGTTGCTTCTTGTTATAATCCCATTTAGCTACCTCCACTGATAAAGGAGTTTCTTCTCATTTTTGTTCTGATGAAGGATCACACCAACATATTTGCCTAGCTTTTGACCTGTCGTGCATTTTCTATTTGCACACAGAGTGGGTTTAGAAGGCATCATTCCCTTAAACATGAAATACTGTTCGGGCAAAAACTTTGTCAACTGTGAATGAAAATGAAAATTATGTGCATCTTTGGTTGGAAGCAATTAATAAGGAAAACAAGCTTCTGGTATGTACGTAGCACCTATTATAAATCAGAAAGACTTTAGACCTAGGATAATCAAACCAAATAGCAATGTGAGAGTGGGTATCTATTAGGTCAGACTCTACGAAAGAAGAAAAAAACAGCTAGTTGTGGAACAGTAACAATCAGGTTCGTGGAGAAATCCACTTGCAGAGACCAATACACTTTAGCTGCAGATAGATCACCAGAAAGCATCCCTTGGGAAGGAGTAGTCTTAAATATTCTCAAACTAATAGAATATTCAATATTCCCTCCCAAAAAAACCTTTAGAATTCAATAATTCTCACTGTATGAAATTATACCTTTTGTTTGTCATCAACTCCATCCACTATAGTGACTGCATGGCATTCTTTTGCACAAGTGTGATTTCTACAAGTCAAGAGTCGGCCGCAAAGTCTTTTGCAGGAGAAGGGACCAACAGCATGACAAGGTATTGGGCTCACCTAAAATACAAAAATAACATGTGCTTTTTGCATTTGAAGTCACATTCAACAATAACTTGTATTTATACAGTGCCCTTTATGCGAGGTGTGTCACACAGGACTTGATGGTGAGATCCGAGGCCGAGCCAGAAATGGGAGGGGGTTGGGGGGGGAAGAAACGATTCCAAGAGAACAAATATATTCAGACACTTTGATATTAACACAGCTCATATTAGAGATTTCATCTAATTTTACAAAGTACACTTTTAGTATAATAGTTTTATTTTAGGTTTTTAGATTTACTGCAGGTCTTCTTATGATTGAATAGAACCACAATTTCAACACACCTTCACATGGAAATTTCAAACTATCTCTGGAATTTCCATGTATAGGTGGGATGCATGAAATTCTAAGTTTGGTTTGGATACTCTTAAGCATGGTGCTGGGTTTCCGGATGTATCAGACAGACAGCTGACACCCCAAAACTTATACCATGTCTGATTAGAACAATTCAAATAATACATCTTACAACTGACCAAACATTAAAAAGCATCAACAGCAACACAACAATACCTTTTATTTATGAATATTAAATTCCCACCAAACAATTATTTAAAAAAATGCAGCATTAGTAAGTCTTAAACAAGGTGTTTATTCCCAATGAGAAAAACAAACAAGTATAATTTGCTTTACAATAATTAGAAACTTTGCCATGTAGTACAATGAAAATGAACTTTGCAAATGTCAACTGACAAGAATCTATGAATCAGAAATACAAGCATCTGAACTATTTGGGGAGGTAAATGCTGAACATTTTGCCATTCCTGAAGCAAAATCTTTGGCTGCCAACTACAAAATATCAATTACAATAATATATTTGAGATTGCAGTTCTCAATCCTCTACAGATATTGGCAGTTTAATTTTCAATATTAAAGCAATAATTGTATTGACGGATTCTTTCATATCAGGGTGACGTCTCAAAGTGCTTCACATGATTTACTGTAAAGTGTAGTAAAGTGTTGTAAAGCAAATTATACAAAAGGAAAAATTCCCTTGTCTTTTCGAGAAGTGCCATGGGATTGATTTAAAGTCTCATCAGAAGGACAGCACCTCCAACAATGCAACGCACCACAGCATTGGAGTGTCCGCCTATCAGAGATCAAAATCCTGAAGTGGGGCTTGAATCCACAATCTTCTGATTCAGAGGCGAGAGTGTTACCAATTGAGCCAGGCTGACACTTTTGCATAATTGTGTGAAAAAATGCAATAGTGCCACTACTTTATCAATGTTTTAATACGATTGACTAGCTATTAATTATGCTATACTTCACTTTTGAAACGCAAATTATTAGAATAGAAAAGTACAAAATATTGATGGAAATATTTCCATAATACAATTTAGAATCTATGTTAATCATTATAACTCAAAGAATACATTGGTCTCCTTTATAATGAGTATTTAGGAAACTGAACATTCTAATCTTGTATTTTTGAAAGGTTTTGTATGTAGAAAGGTTAATGCATTCTTCAAAAGGTTAACTGTACAGTACAATCCGAACTGTATCCAGTTATAGGTTTTCAAAATTAATTATTTTAATAGCAATGCTACATTTCTACAAGGTTTTCAAGGTTCAATAAAAAGACGTTCAAAGTAATTTGAAAGTAAATGGAAGAATTCACCAATTTTGCTTCTACCTTCCACCCTCCATCACATTCACATGGTCCATATCTGACTCTTCCCTTCCTCGACTTCACCAATTCCATCTCGGGGCATTGATTATCAACAGATATCTTTTGCAAGCCTACCCAGAGCTACCTGGACTACACTTCCTCCCACCCCAAAGTCCTGTAAAGTAAACTCCATTCCCTTTTTCCAGTTTCTCCACCTCATCTGCTCTGATGCCACTTTCACACCAGAGCTGAGTCCTGTAGCTCAGTGGTTAGAGCACTTGCCTTGCAAGCGAGACATCTGGGTTCAGGCAGGGCGAAACCTTGGGCAAGTTTCCTTACTCCACACACCTAATAATAATCCCTCCAGAACACAAAACAATAATAAATTGGTCATTTTCAATCCACGACTGTTTGTGGGACACTGCTGTGCACAATTGGATGCCACGTTTCGCCCACAAATATACAGTCAATTCACTTTACAGCATATTCTGTGAAGCGCTTTGAGACGTCGAGAAGATGTGAAAAGCGCTATATCAAATGCAAGGATTATTATATTATTATAAATGCCTTCCTTTTTCCTCGAACGAGGATTCCCATCCACTGTAGAAGGCAGGGCCCTTGACCATGTTCACCCTATTTCCCGCAACTCTGTCATCACTCCTTCCGCCTCTTCTGAGAACCGTGATTAGGGTCCCCCTAGTCATCACCTTCCACCTCATCAGCCTCAACATCCAAAAAATAATTCTCCGTCATTTCCGGCATTTCCAGGGTGATCCAACCACTAAACATGTCTTTCCCTCCCAGCATTCCGAAGGGACCGTTCCCTCTGTGACTCCCTGGTTCACTCAACCATCACCACCAACAGTTGCTCTCCTCCTCCCAGCACCATCCCATGCCAGCGCAGGAGATGCAATACCTGCCCTTTCATCTCTTCCCATACCACTGTCCAGGACCCCAAACACAGATTTCAAGTGAGACAGTGATTTACGTGTACGACCAGCAATGTAGTTTACTGCATTCACTGCTCATGATTGTGGTCTCCTCTATATTGGAGAGACAAAACCCAGATTGGGTGACCGATTTGCCGAACACCTCCTTTCTCTTCAACTGTGCCTTCAGCTCCTCTCGACTCTCTACCCCCTCCTCGCTCCCACCCTTACCTCCCCTCACCCTGACCATTTCCCCCCTGCTCGTGTCCCAACCCAACTGTCCAGCGCCTTGGGACGTCCTCCCAACGTGAAAGGCATTCTATAAATGCAATCTTGTTGTTGTTTCTGTCCATAAGCACAACCCTGAGCTTCCGGTCTCTTGCCATTTCAACTTTCCCTCCCACTTGCACTCTGATCTCCCATTCCACGGTCTCCTACACTGTTCCAATGAGCCGCAGTGCAAGCTCGAGGAACAGCACCTCATCTATCTGCGAGGGACCTTACAGCCTCTGGCCTCAATATTGATTTCAACAAATGCAGACCATAACAGCTCACCTTCCCCCTCCCCCTCTTCTGTGACCATTACATCATCTGGGTCCCAGACATATCTTTTCTCTCTCTGGTCTGCCTATTTTGTTGCAATTATCACCCTCCCCACACCTTGTTTGGCATCATTAACACCTCTTTAACCCATCATTCCTCTACCCCATTTTCTCCTTTGACTTCCTTGCCCTGCCTCCTCCCTCTCTGTTAGTCCTTAAAAGCCTCTCCCCCCAACATGCCCCAGTTCTGACGAAGTGTCATATACCCAAAATCTTGACCCACTTTCCTTTCTCCATAGATGCTGCCTGATCTGCTGAGTGTTCCCAGCGACTTCTGTTTTTGTTTCAGATTTCCAGCATCTGCAGTATTTTGCGTTTTATTTATGCTTTTTTAAAAGCCTTACTGAACACGAGTGCCACAGATTTATGTCAGCAAATTAGCATGGATCGGTCATTTAACTATTGTACTTGGTTTATCGTAGAGGTATATGCATTTAAAAAATGGGTTAATCAACTACTCAATGGCAAAATATCTCCTTGGCCCTGACAATCTGCTTAGAGCTCGTGTTTTTCCTGTGTAACCCTTGAAGTCAATGATGAGAAACATTTCCTTAGGGATAATTGCAATTCATTATAGTTTATAAGTTATTTTGCCCATCTAATGACCCCATTGCAATTTTTAAATGTAATATTGTAGCTGCGGGAAATTGCTCCTCTAGCATGACTGTTAAGAAAACAGTGCTAAGTACAATCCATGTATGTTGGGGAAAATAAAACACAATAGTACAATCGCATCTGAAAGCTCTCCATTGATGTTGTAAAGTTTTTTGCATTTTTGATATAGCACCTTATCACATCTTCAAGGAGTCTCAAAGTGCCTCACAGAATATACTGTTAAGTGAATTGACTGTATATTCTGTTGGCAAACACGGCAGCCAATTGCACACAGATGTGCCCCACAAACAGTCGGGGACTGAGTGACCAAGTTATTATTATCATTTTTTTTTAAAGGGATTACCACCGGAAAATTGATCCCCAATCAACTAACAATCGGGTTCCTACTTACTAGGTAAATAAAGGCGTGTGGAGTAAGGAAACTTGCCTAATGTTTCACCCTGCCTCGGAATCGAATCCAGATCCTCTCGTTTGCACAGCGAGTGTTCTAACCCCTTAACAACAGGACTCCGATAAGTTAATACACTCTCCAATAATGAATCAATATGGATAAAAGTACAAGTTTTAATGCCTTCAAACTTTTGCATGTGCAATTATTAAAAAGTTTAAAAATATATTAGAGTTAAACCTTAAGAAATATTGTTTATTGTCTATTTATTGCTTTATTGTTGTACACTGTATAAACCTTTTTAATGCAAGAGCCAGATAATTCACTGATACACACAGATACAGTGATGGGAAGATCATTCCAATCTCATCTCACATGCTCCATGCCTAGATAAAAAAAAATTAGAAGAAGCTTGGAAACTCTGATACATTTACCTCAACAAGGGAATTCTCTTTTTAATTGTTCCACTACTGATGAATCCCAACATCAAAGTTAAGACTGTATTGCTTCTGTACCGTTTACTCTAAGCACTTGGAATTATGACTATTTTCTGTAACTCCTATTCATAAACAGCAGATTAAAAACTGCCTTTCAGGATGACCGCAATGGGCTTGTGTTCTGCATTGCGAATGACAGGAACTCCTCAATCATCTCAAAGTCATGTTATTATTTCCCTAGTATTTCTAGGTTTCATATCAACTCCATACGCTCCAAACTCCAGCAGTATCCTATCCAGATATGGATAAGATCTGTGATGACGCAAGTGGTTCTCAGTTGAATATATCTGGGACCTCGAAACAAACCACAACTGGATT